ATATATATAGGGGAGACCAGGGTTAGTTGGCTAAATTTAAGAGATAAGTTGGTTAATCTATTGTATTATATTTCTGTATTCTAACAGATTGCAGGATCGTGCAAGCAAGGATTTCAAAATCATCCATGATGTGTTTTTTTAAATCTTGCTTGCCCGATTTGATAAGCTGTTACGAAAAGCAGAAATAAGCGATTAGCCAACCATCTCTGTAGCTAACTAACCTCGGTTTCTCCCCATAAGCGCGCGCGTGCGCGCGATATGCTATATATAATAATATTCTAAGAAAATGGTGAGAATATACTAGTAACATTCTACTGATATTCTGAGAATATTCTTTAGGATATTCTCAGTACATACTAATAACTACGTACCGCGGGAAATAGGAACTTTCTCAGTATATCCTCAGTATATCATATGACGTATTTCGAATATTCTGAGAATATTATCAATATACGTTTATGATATTCTCCGAACATTCTCAGAATTTACATGTTCCGTTAGGGTACTTTTCGATGAATTGAAATTATGGCTTGAACTTGATGTAGAACATTCCTCTGTATTCACAGCCGATACAGACGATATCGATGACATTGGTGAAGATGGTACTGACAAATTGGACAGAGTACTTACTGTCCTAATGAAATAAAGAAAAAATATATAAAAGTTACAAAATTATTAGTTCAATACTTATCATGAACAATATAACTATTCTTACTACCATTTTAATGGTAGAGAAAATGTTAACATTGATTTTGAGAGTATTATAAAAATTTAGTTTAAAAACTGAAAAATACATATTTAAAAAATACAACATAAAAACTATATTTTCTGTTTAATTTTTAAAACTAAAAAAATATATTTATGAAAATTGAATAATAATAAAACATGTAATTTTTAAAATATAACCCAATATATTTACACAACTAAATTTTCAGTTCTTATTCAACAAGAAAATTATACATACTGTTTCGCTTCCATACAGTCGCTTAAGAAACTCATGGCCTCATAAAAGCGGAAAGTATTTTTCCTTGTTGCAGGAGCTGCCGATCCACTTGGAATATATTCGTTGCTTTTTTTCCAGTCCTTTATATAACAGTCTTTTAAATACTTCCATCTTTTTTTGATACTAGGGACATCCATAATTCCTTTACAATATTAAAAATTAAAGATACAAAAGGTTATATTTTTAGGTACATACGCATAGTCTAATAAAATCAATATACAGTTTAGAATACTGATTCTTTTTGTATTAAAACATCCAATTAAATTTTGTACAATTGTTAATTATAAAAATAATATTGGCCGCGTTCAGCAGACACAACTGTTGAACGAGCGCTCAATGATTTCTTAACATGATTGGCTGGATCTAAAAGTATTAGCCAATCATACTGAGCGCTCACTCAACAGTTGTGTCTGCTGAACGCGGCCATTGTAAACACAGCCCGCTGCAGTCAACAAGTCGCGCAATGAGCGCCGTGCGCGCGCTCCGGGGGGAGGAGGTGCATAACCGGAAACAGCTGTGATAGACTCGCCAGAGTCGCGACGGTGGCGGGTGGTCGACAGTTCACACGGCACTCACGCCACTCACGGCAGTTTCAGCGATGGCACGCGAGAGTAACGGAGTCACGGCCGTCTCGCTGTGATAGGCATCCGCGGAAAATGGGGGATGACGTCGACATTTACGCGGATTTACCGGGCTTTTCGTCCGAGAAAAATGTGAGACTCGCCGACGACGATGCTAAATTCTGCCTGCCGTGGCAAGTTGTCCCTGCTCGGCGCGCACTTGCGTCGCGGCTCGCTCGCGAGGGACGTGCGACTTGCGATTTTGCGCGAGTACAAAGTGTACGAGGGGCTCGAAGTAGCGTACGCCAGTTTGCGCCTGTCGCTTGCCGAGGGGTGCAATTGTGCCCACGATTTTTAACCGGACAGATCGTGCGAACTGCACGTGACGCCGACATAACCTACAAAACATTTCCCGCGCGCGCCATGAAACTGTATTCGCGCGTTCTGCCACTTTCAAGCGACGCTTCTCGATCGAGCTGTTCGCAATGCTCGTGTTTGTTAAATGTTATTTGATGTCCGTCGCGCGAGGAGAATTTTTAACAGTTTATCCATTTATTGTTTACTACCGTTGTTGCGTAGAACGTGCATCTGTAAATAGATTTCTAACGTTCGTTGCCACAAACTGCATAGAACATGAAAGTTTAGGTTTAAATTCGCGGAGTAGAACTCAGGCAGAAACTCGTGGAATATTGTATATTTTTGTCAACTGTAAAATAACTTTTAGTATTTTATGTTGTGCCACGAATCGTTTTGCTCTAACGAGTGGAGGTTACTTTAATCTAATTAACTGATATAAGATGTTTATTCGAGGGACTTTCTAAAGTTATAAGAACAATCTAAAAACATAATTTGGAACGTATTGTGCGTTGAGTTCACTTTGACGTACGGTACAGTGCATTAATTCGATTCGAGTAATGAGTAGACGTGGGCAAAAATCACTTGGTTATCTAAACAGATGCTTCTTGATGGTACGACCCGAGTCGAATCGATGCACCGCACTGTACAAGTGCAAATGTTTAACGTGACGCGTTTCAAGTAGGTCAATTAATATATTTTGCAATATCCAATTTTGAAGATGTTTACAAGAACAAACCCATACAGCGCGCATATCTAAGAGACATCTTTAAGACGTCTTCAAGTTGTCTTTTAGATATGTATGTCTACAAGACGACTTAAAGATGTCTTTTGGACATGCTGTATGGAAAGCTAGAGCTATGTGTTTTGGACTTTTAAATGCAATTCAGATTGCTGTGAGCTTCTTTAAATACAGTTAAAAATTCTCTTCTGGAGTCTTTCTCCAAGCAACGTAGACACCCTGTTAACATCAGTCTGTTGCTTCCTATTTTTATACTCGTGGAATCCCATGCAATGCGTTTCAGTTTCACTTTCTTGTGAACGCATCGAGGGGACGTTTTCATACCTTTGTACCTTAAATATAATTTAAAGAAGTTTACGTAAATTTATATACGCTACTTAAAGATATTAAAGGCAATGTATAAGATACCGAAGTAAAGAAAACATGTCTCGCAACAATAATAATTTATAAGAAAAAGAGTTATAATTAAATAACGTACACCACCGATGTAGAGAATCTACGAAATAATGAGCTTTTTTTTGTTATCAAGGACCAAGATTGTAACTGCAAGGAATTCAAGAGTGAGCTTAGCTCACTCGCAAGCAAACTCGAGGACATTCAAACGACTAAGGCGACCTTGGAGAGGAATCTGTCTTCCTTACTCAAAACTGCAAGAGCTGAAATTGCGCGGAAGGATAAGATGATAGATGATCTCAGGAGGCGGTATGAATTTTGTAAACCGTAACATTTTGACCAACGAATTCGTTTCTAATGGTCGTCGTAATGCTTGCAGGTTGGACGATGTAGCTTTTAGAAGGGGGAGCAGCAGGAGTGAAACTCCGGGTGTTTCCACTCACAGATTAGCATATCAGCATACTGCAGCTAGAAAGTATGAGAATATCCCCTCGACGCGTTCACAGGACAGTGAAACTGAAACGCATCAAGCTGAATTCCATCACGACGAGTATAAAAGTAGGAAGCCGCAGGCTGATGTTATTAGGGTGCCCACGTTGTTTGCAGAAAGATTACAAAAGAGAATTTTGGAGGACGAGAAAGAGGAGAAGAGGCAAAATGCATTAAAGCCTGGCGTAGAAGCTCAACTAGAGGATGTTCCTGAAGACGACGTTGCGGAGAACGATAGGGAGAATGGATCTCAATTCAGTGTAAATAACAACGGCAATGAATCTAATATCGGACGACGTTCTAATTCGGGTAACGTAAACTTTACTTTCTATATGCGATTATGTGTGCCGCGTAAGTTTATAGAATAGAATTGTAAGAAAGTGTTTTGATTTTTGCACAGCTTTTAATCTAACATGAAAGAAATTCTTCGTGCCGTCATATCAAAATGTCAGGCTTGCTGAATATTGATTTGTTACTGTTTGTATCCTGAAAAAAGTGTACAAATTTCAGAATTCGTACTTAAACATATTTAGGACAACTGAATGATACGCTCGTTAGTTTAAAAGTACAGTAATTTATCGTGAGGCAATCTTGTTGCAGGATCCCCAGAAAGAAACGCACACAGAAGGATTTTATCGAAAAGGACGAATGAAGAGGATGATACGCACAGACATAAACGTTTAAAAATTGAAAATGAAGATAAAGCTACGACCGAAGAAACCGATTACAATTACCTTATGCCGTATCATTTAACGGACAATCCTGCGGCATGCGAGATAAAAGACACCGTAAAATTCGAAGATCGGCTGAGTGCAGTACATTCGTTTAAAAAGGAAGAGGCTGTATCCTACAACGAGCGCAGAGCCACTTCTGAGTATCGAGACACGAAACAGGATCAAACGTGCGCAAATGGATGGAGGAATGCAGCGAGGGATCACGACAGTCTCAACGCCAGGAACGAACTGGCCGATAATTCAAGAAATCCTCGGACTGCTTCGACATCTAATTATGTCTCGGAAGGGTTTAGCAGTCGTTACAAGAGGAATGGGCACAGGTATAGTCCGCCAAGGAGAAGCTACTCTCGAAGCAGGAGCGATTACGAAAGTTCGAGCAGTCGTTTACGCGATAGATACAGTAGAGCGTACAAAGAAAAGAAGTACGATGATTATAGATACGACAGCCGATACAACAACGGGAGATTAAAGTGGAACTACAAGACCGAGGAAAATGACAGGAAAACGAGGCATACTCGTAGAGAACGTGAACGGGACAGATCCAGATACTCGTCGAGCGACGCTGAGGATAGAGAAAGTAGTTCGTATAAGAATTACGAAAATCGCAGCATGAGAAAGGAAAAGGGAACGGCTCTGAGTGATAAAAGACCGTACGAAAGTAATAAAGCTGCAGTGGAAGCTAATTTCCGAGAGTCTTCTAGTCGAACAATTGTAAATAGTACAACGAATTACAGCGTTGAGAAAGATATTGAACAGCGCAAAGTGAAAAACGAATCGGAGATTAAAAATTCAGTAAAAAGCACATTCGCGCGTGTCGCAACGGAAGGCTCGGTTGCTCTGGAGGAAGGCGAAATTTTAGACAGTCCCGAGAAGAGAAATAATTCTGCAACGATCTCTAAAAATAACAAAATGGAAGAAAGCAATGTAAGAGGCGTTCCAGTTGAAGATAGGAAAGAGGATATTTCTGTGGGCGCGTCCATTGATAGCAAATCGACATCACTTCAAAAGAAGGCACACAGTACAAAACAGTTAGAAGTGGCAGATATTAGTACAAGAAAGGCTGAAGAAACGTCACATCTTCTGCAACGAAGTACGAAAGATCGCGAAGAAATAATTCAGCCGAGTTCTAGCAAGAGTAATATGGCGATCGACGAAGCCTACAATTGTAGAAAAGACGAAGATTCGTGGAAATTTTACGTCAACGAAGATTTAATGGATTCCGTTGCTGAAAACGTTGGAGCGATCGAACAAGTGCGCGGCAGTGATGCCGATTATAAAAACGATGCTGACGAAACGTCAAAGGATTCTGAAACGGCTGTTATCGAAACTACCAAAATCAAAGAGAAGACTGCTACTGAAAGTGTTGCTAAAATCAAAGAATCAGATGTCTGTAGTATCGAAAGTGCCGCTAACAAGGAGGAAATGGACAATCCCACTATTGAAAGGGTCGTTGAGGTCACGGAGGTGAATAATAGCGGTAATAGGATCCATAGGATCCATAGAAACACCAACGGCGACGAACTAAAGATTTCTATCATCAAAATTGCTATAAAAGCGGAGGCTGTGTCGGATTGTGGCATTGAGGGTGGAGCTAAGAGTCACGCGCCGATCGAAAGCGGGACTTCTCGTCAAATGTCAACTAAGAGCAATGTCGAAATGTGCCTCAACGATCACAATTATGTTCAGAAGTCTTTTATCAACGTCCCGGATCCCGATGTGACCCAAGAGCCGCCGAGGCCGGTATGTGGCGAAGCTGCGGCGGAGTCGGTGAAGTTGCAGCTCCCGGAAGCAGTGTCGAGGGAAACGAAGGTGGAAGGAACGATCCACGTTCAATCGGTCAACAGTGTTAAGAGGACAACGTCGTCCACGGTGAAGGCTAAGAAGGGCCAGCAGAGCAAGGGGATACTGATCTCGCATCGCCGAAAAGCCGTGATACTGAGCGACAGTAACGCGTCCATGACCGTCCTGATGAACGCGAGTATAGCGAAAACGTCCTCTGTCGTTAGCAATTGCGACGGCAACGACGCCGCTTCGGTGAAGCCGCGTGCCTGCAAGATACCGCGAGCGACTGTGAAAGCGGCATGTAAATAATCATTGTACAACCCTTACGCTTGTAAGATATTAATAAAGCTGGATTCATAAGCGAGTAGTCGAGAACAGGGGCAGGTGCCGTTACGCAAAATGGTATGGTATTTTAGTTTGTTTCTCATCTTGAGCTTTAATCTTTAATATAAATCATTTTTTTTCAGGCGTGACGACACATGAAAGATTAATTTAGAGATGAGACAATGACTCGCGGGGAAGCAAATACTTTTGGAGCGGAAGACGGAAGCAAAATGGTAGAAATCATAACTTTTTTTTTGTTTTTATCACAAGACTGTCTACTTGGTCAAAGGATTGACAACTAGCGTAGCTTATTTCATATAAGAATGACTTCGCGGCCAAGCTCCGGCTGACTTGTCAGATTAATTTTAACCAGGTTACTGGACTGAATTCCACAGATTGCCCCTTTGTACGCTTCAATAAGATACTTAAAATTGATTATCTATTCATATTCGTGCCTCCTCCGCTGCTTCTATTTTCGGGTCAGCCGGTTTTCGCTACATGATTTCCCACTTCAAATTCGACACGTGGCGTCTTACTTTTCGCCTTTTCCACTCTCTTGATCATAAATTACTGATATTTCCTAATGTTCTCCTCAATTGCTAATTAGGCATTTATTCCATGACTCCGTATATCTTTGTAAATTTGTATATTGTCGTTCACAGTCATCTTTATTAATGGGACGTCATTGTATTTTCACGTACAATTTATCAGTACTATTATTTTCTTGTTACATTAAAGCTGTACGCATTTGCTTTCGCGTCTAATGCCTCATGATCTCCCCTGCACTTTAGTAAAATAATTAAAGTCTCATATTAATAATACGTGCATTACTCGACAAATTAGTCAAGCTAATCATCAACTTACAAGGTAATCAAGTTAATGAATTAGGCAACAATTAAGACCGCCCGTAGTTTGCGATCTACGGATCGATGAACGCCCCGGCTCGATTCCTCGGCGAGGAGAACATGTATTCAGCTCGAAGGCCAAATGGGAAACGAACGTAGTCGAGAGATACATAAAAGAAGCAGCGTCGGGAACAATCGAGTTACCTAATCGCGGTGACAAGTCAACACGTGCCGCCCAAGTCAATCGGAGCTCGGTCGAAGTCGGTCCGAGCGAGGGGACGTTCCGCATCGATCGGGCACGGAGCGGAGCGGCGCGACCGCGGCGCGGCGTCGCCGTTATCGATCAGAAAATAGCCGGCGCGACGACGCCGATACGCGCGCGTCCGCCGTTGACGTCACCCCGGGGCTCAGGGCGAGAGGAAGGGAGAGGGAGACGTCCGTACGCCGCGCCGAGCCGAGCCGCGACGCGCCGCGCTCCGGCCTCAGAGGACGTCGGGATGACCCGCGCCGTGGACGTCGTCGCCGTCGTCGCCGCGGCCGCCTACTAACGCGCCACCCAGCTCGCTCGACGCTCGACGATTATGTGCCCCTAGACGCGCCCTCGCCGCTGCGGTCCACCGCCTCTCAGACGACGAGATCCGCGCACAGCCGCGGCCGTCCGCGCCGCGCTCGCTTCGCCCCCGGCGACCGATCCTTCTCTTTTATTACGTGCGAGCCGGTCCTCGATCCGGACCGACCCGGCCGAGCGCCGGCGTTCGCGCGGCCCGCGTATCTGCGAGTCCAGGCCGCCAGGATGGGCTCGATAGTGCTCAAGTCGCTCTCGGTGCTCCTCGGCATATTCTTCGTCTTCGTCGGCACGATGAAGCTCACGTCACACATCAGCAAGGACCTGCACAAGGACCTGGTGAGTCCGCGTACTCGCGAGCGTCGGACCGATCCCACCCTCCTCCAGGGTTTCCCTCCGCGCGACGTTCAACGAGGCAGTGCCCTGGATGGCTGTCGTGGAAATGTTCGGGATTGTTCAATCACTTCCTAGATGTCTGTTGTATTTTCTAGGCGGAACACAATTCCGCGATTGGAATCCATCCCGAACATTCCCGCGCGTTTAGATTAAAGCTCCAAAGAGACTTCTCCGGGAAATATTTTACTCGACGACTATTCCGTAACCATTTTGAGCGTTTCCGATCTACTTCTCGAGTTTCTAAACTCATTGTAAAAAGAAAGCGTCGCGACCACTCTGTCCGTCACTGTACGCGGAACGGCGACATGAGCGATTCGACGAGCGGTAAAATGTATTAAAACGTCGGGGAGGAAGTCGCCGGGCAATGGCGAGCCGACAGGTTTCCATCGAGACGCGAGGACCGACCAAGTTGCCGCCGGTCGCGGCTCGACATCCGTTCGAGATTAGCAACCGATTCGACTTAACGTCGTTATGGCATTAATGTGTCGTTGCCGTTTATCAGCGCCGAGGTCGACGACCGACGGGGGGGAGAGACGAGATTTACTCGCTGAAATTGGTGCCGCAATTGTCAGTTGAATGTACGCGGAGAGAATTTTCCGAGGGATGAACCGCCGAGGGTTTCGCGGTGCACAGATTTGCGGAGTTGCTGGACATTACTAGGCATTTTTTGGGCCCTCGCTGGAGCGTCGTACAGTAAAATAAGACATGAAAATTAAGTAATTGACATTGGCGTGCGTGATTTTGGTCAGCGGTTTACCCCTCGGAATTTTCTTTTAAAAATTCACCCTGAAAATCATGCAATCGTGGAACAACGTGGCATTTTCAACAAGTTTATACGAGTTTTTGGAAGTATCATCGCGCACTTTGCTAATAAAATGTACACTAAGTTTAACTACTAGTAAAACGTACGGCAACGTTTAAAGAAAAACTCGTCAAATTCTTCGAAACGCCGCGTTGTCCCACGACTGCATGAATCTCGGGCCGAACTTTAAGAGGAAATGCCTCTCCGCGTGGTCCCAATTGCCGTCTTGCAATTGCCGAGTTATTTTAACGCCCGAAATTAATAATTGGCAGCGTGCAGACGCTCCCGTCCGCGATCAACAGGGCTAATCTGATCGATAAGTTTAGGATCTCTCTTTGGAGCTCAACGGCCGATCTGCAACCGAATCAGCGCTGCGAATTATTAACGTTATCAAATGATGTAACCGATTGATACTGAGAGAGGACGCCCTTTTCGCGGCCGGTCTAATAATATTTCCTTGTGAATTTTGCACGCCTTTCCCAGCTCGACGAACCGCGCGCGACTGCTCTTGTCGATTTTAAAGCCTAATCTACAATGTGTTCTTTGCGTCTAGAAACATTCTATTTTGTAGCCGATAGATACGTTTAAAAAAATTTGCCCGAGTGGATAAATTGTACATTGTACACTGTACAGTCGTATACGGAATATGTTTTCTCTTAAAATTTACCCTGAAAATAATAATACTATTTTTGTTGCTACAAAAAGGAGATACAGTGAAAGAGCATTGATAATCGAAAGCAAAAGGTGAGGCACCAACAGAAAGTTGTAGCAAAGCCTACCTGCTAGAATTAGATATGAAATAAAGATTGGCGCGAATAAAAGAATTGTGTAATCGTGGGACAACGTGGCATTTTGAACAACTTTGTGCTCTCGTAAAATTCCTCGAAATGCCGCGTTGTCCCAACGATTACAATATTTTCAGGATAAATTTTACAAGAAAAATCCCCTCCGTGTACATTGTTCGACAAATTTTTTAAGCGTTTCGCTCTGTCTATATAAAACATAATATTTCTAGACGCAGAGAGCACATTGTAGACGAGGCTGAAAGCGCAGCCTCTTGTCGGAGCGACAAATCTCCGTGTGCCTTCAAAATCGACCATCGTTTCGGCTCGCGAGCCTTTTTAAGTTCCCCGTGGAGAATTTATCATCGCGCAAAAATGTAACAATCAATTAAATACCGAACAAAGAAACCGCCCCCGAGCGGACTGACAGACCGGACGCCATTTATTGTCACGTACGCCGTCCGTCATCTCCTCGTCTTACGTAATTTCGCGGACGTCGGTGCCAAAGTGGATAACGTCGCGAGTCGCGGGCCAACCCCGCGTATCGCGTCCGCTCTGTCACGGCCCGGCTTGTTACGTAACGTTTACGTCGCTCGCAGCTCGTGGCTACCCTTGATTGCGCCGTGATAGCGCGCGCGCGCGCGCTTCCAGCCAGTGTTTCCCCTCGTCGAAGCTCCCGGCGCGGCGTCCTCCTCCCCGTCGTTCCCACGGTGCTCGTTTCCGGATTGTTAACGCTCCAGAGATGAAAAACTCGACGGCGAATACTACGGTTCGCCACGTTCATCGCGTTAACGTTTAGGCGCACAGCGAAGCGCGACGCGGTTCTTTCTCGCGGCGCGATGAAAGGCGTCGATCCAGCGAATTGTTAACCGAATATTTCTCCAAAGTGATCGACGTAATTTTACAAAGGGATAAGCCGTTGAGGTCAATCTCGAAAGGAACGGAGAAAATTGATCCTCGTAGCGCGCTGGTGGCGACGAGGACTGGGTTGTTGCGCGAAAGAGTTGCTCGAGGGGAGCGCTTGATAATGACCGAATCGTCGTTTGTTTAAAATTTTTTGAAAGGCGCAAATTGTTCCCCGCGTTCTGATCTGTGTATAAAGTGAATTTTGGATATGTCTGCACGGAGAGGATTTTCTTTTAAAATTTATCCCAGTGGGTAAACCGCTGAGGGCATTGCGGTGTACAGATTTCCAGCGTCGCTGGCCATTTTTTGGGCATTAGTGGGCGTTATTTGGCCTTGCTCGGGCATTGTAAATAATCTAAAAAGATAAATCGAGATAAAATAAGACAATAAGATAAAGTGATGCCCACTGGGCGTGTATAGTACACGGAGAGAATTTTCTTTTAAAATTTATCCTGAAAATTATGTAATCGTGGGACAACGCGACATTTCGAAGAATTTTATCAGTTTTTAAATTTTACCATTTTACTAGTAAAAAAACTTCCATAAAGTTCTTTAAAGTGCCGTGTTGTCCCACGATCGCGTAATTTGCAGGCTAAATTTTAAGAGAAGATTCCTTCCGTGTGGTTGTTTAAAAAAAAGTTTAAACTTATGTAGTTTCGCGCGAATCTGAACAGGCAATGCATCGGCAGTCGCGACATAAGAATGTTCTAATTAATTTAGGTATTTTAACTAATTCGTTTTCTAATTAATTTATTATCAAGTTATATCGCTTGTGCTTCCATTATTCTTTCCGATGCTGATCAGATTACGAAAATTTACATCAAAAATAAAAAAACAGCTAAATGTAAACTAAACTACGCGCTACAAAATGTTAATAAAAATGATAAAATGTCAATAAAAACGATAAAAGCACAGGCAAAGATGGTACTTTGGGTTCTATTTTTTCTAATTTTCTTGTCTTCCGTATATTTCGACGAATGTCATTTTTTACTTGTCGCCCTTATTTAAAACAGTACACAAAGAGGATACATCATGTAATGTGAGGTAGCGATGCTAAATAGCTTTAAAATCTTCAAAGCGCTTTGTTGTAAATCATATTTCTTGAACTTTGTGTACTTTTCCCTTGGAAAACAGCAAACCGATTTTTATATTCCTTTAGTCTCTTCAAAAATAACTGGATTATTCAGTTTTTAAAATTACACTTTTACAAAAAATTACGAAGAGTTACCTGAAAAAAAATTGTCTCTTCTCAAATCACAATTGAAATTCAGAAACGGCTTACTTAAAACAAAAGCATCGGTCAAACTCGTAGTCAATCGTACGAAAAAAAAGTAGAGAGAAAAGATATTTTTCGTATTGTTGATTCAAACACAGTTGAAAAATTTGTGTTAACAGATATCACATGTCCCAAACAGCCCACACAAATTTTTGTGTTAATTTAACGTAACATGGATATGTTACATTGGAAATGAGCACACTAATACTCTGTTAATATTTTAACACAAAATAAATGCAAATCTCAAAATAATTTGAAATAGATTTTGTGTATAAAAATTAACATATTTATAATAACAAAATAAATTTTTTAAATGTAATTTTTACATTTTACAGATGTAATAAGTCAAATGACAGTTCGAAATCACTCTCGCTTATGTTATATAGAATAAAATCAACATTTTATTCTGTAAATTTTAACAGATAAATCTTGTCACTAATAATACAGAACATATCTATTGTGTAAGATTTAAAAATAAGTATACATTGTGTTGTTTCAACATTTCTTTTCAAGTATTATAATAATTTTACATTTGGAGTCAATTAACACAAAAATTTTAACCGGCATTTTCTTTAACAAGAAAACACAAATTTTTCAGCTGTGAAGGCAAGAGACCGAAATAGAAAAATAGGCAGTTTCGTCCCGTAATTCCGGAATTGATATTTCCCTTAAATGTCAATTAAAGTCGACGACTAATTGCGTGGCATCGTGAATCGATCGCAACGAGGCCAAGGGCGTTCGGGGGGGAAAAAATACAATTTTTTGAAACCCGGTCGATCGTGAGGTGCGACACGTACCGGTGTCGCGTAACTCGTTATAGACGGTATAAAAATACACGCGGTAACGCGCGCTCGATAACGTATATCGAGGTATTATAGAATACTTATGTTGCACGGCGTTAAAGATTAAACGCTGATACGGCCACGTGGAAATGCACAATGGCCATTAGCGTACCGCTGTTATCGAATCTGAAATATTTAAGCGGTCGATAAATTATCATTTATATATTAGTAAATTATTAAATGTTCTTTCGGCATTGTTACATTTTTGCAAGCCGATTGTTCCTTGTTTTTTGTAGCATTTCCGTAAGAAAATGTGGACGTCTCTCGTTTCGTAAAGTACCGAAAGGTACTTCATTCATTCCATATTTGTACCTTGAATTAGCAAAATAATGTTGCGTGCTTAATTATATGACCTACGTCTCTTGATATAAAATTTTTAAGTAAGTCGCGTACCGTCGGTGTGTCATTCCGCTATTTCCGTATCTCCGACATTGCCCAACGAAAGTGATATTAAGGTAAACACCGGTGCAGATTGCTTGGTCAACCGCCAATAAGCTCGCTAAGTCGCTGGCGAATGATATTTATATACTTCGCGTATTAGAACAAGTCAGGTTTTCTTCAAGTCCTCGAATTGTCTGGGCTCTTGCTGCCAAAATGAGCCCTCGATTACTTCAGCATTATGTAAATATGTGCGGGAAGATACAGCGTTCAGTAACCAGTCACTTTGGCGATGAATAATGAGACACATTTTACCAACACCCGAAATGATTCTTTGCTCTATCGACATTTTATTATTATTATTGTACGTTACATTTGGCCTTGCGACTTTTAAGACGTTAACGTCAAACATCTTAATTCACTGTAGTCCAAATAAAAATCCGGGAATTTTTCATATAAAATGTATCCGTAGATGTTCTCTTTCTGTTCGTATTTACAAGACAAATAATAAGAATTAAAAAAATAATTTAAAAGATCATTTTTGTATCGTTCTTTTTGTTGCAAAAAAATAAAAGTTTGAAGAAACGAAAAAAATTTATATATATAATCATATATAAATCATATATAAATATACTACAATCGTAAATAAGATATGATTTTATATATGAATATACGTAGAATATTGTCGCATTTTTTACTTTTTCTAAAAAACAATGTAAAAGTTAGGTTTTTTTAATTATTCTTATTACTTTTCTTATTTAGATGAAGAGATTGTACAAGAGAAAGAAAACGTGAACATACTTAATTTTTATAATTAAATATGAAAAGCTTTTTTTCGAAAATGCTATTGAAAGCTCAGGCGAAGAACAAGATTTGTCATTAATTTCAATTTTTACTCAGCTACAACTCGAAAATTATTTTTGATATTTTTCTTAAAGAGGCTCGGATTTTTGACAACGGATATCGTAACACATATTACTTCATCAACGAACATAATTGTATATTTATCATGTATTACGTCTAGATGTACCATTAAGTATAGTTTCTCATGTTTCGTTCTCGACTATTATATTTTCACCGAGGACTATCAATGATTTGAATATGTTTTCTTTTGGTTTCAGAGAAAGGAGTATGTCAAGTACGCAAAAGTATTCCCGCTCTCGGGAACGCTTGACTTCAAGGTGCCCAGCAAGTGGTACCGAAGAGTCGTAGGCTCGCTCGAGATCATCTGCGGCCTCGCCATGGCGATTATTCCAAGTCGTAGGTGCAAAAGATCAACCACCTTCTTTGATTATAATAGCCTCCCTTCACAGTCACCTGTTCTGCCGAATTATCAGTTTTGCAAAATGTGCCACAACGTCAATCCCCTCAATTACCCGACATCACAGATCCTCTCATCATAGATATTTCTTGTCGCAGACGCTTTTGCTCGTCGCAGTCTTTGATTGCACTGGTTTCTTAACAGTTTTAGAAACTGGGATTCGATGAATTTCTATTTCCGTAGATTCCTTAGATTCGCTTCTCACGCTTGTTATCCCGTACAAATTCTTAGCTTCGATCATAGAAATTGTTATATTTGATAAGCGGAGCTGGTCCATTGCAGTAATCATCTGTAAATTGCTTCCAGACAAAGTTAAAAACTTATCGAACACAGTGCTGCTTCTTTTGATGCTGATGGCCGTGTATTCTCACTACATGGTCAACGACAAATTCGAGAGGATCGCCCCGGCACTGGTGAGTGATTATCAGCGTTATCGCGTGCGTTTCGTCAACTGTCAATCGGTTAAACGGTTTCAGGTATTCTTCTTTATGCTCACGGGGCGACTGGTGATCGACTGGCAGCTCAGGCGAGAAGATGCGCAATCGGTGACGGCGAACGGTGTCGACGATAAATCTAAGAAGCAAGACTGAGCGGGATTACGGTTGGAAAACGCGTCGTCTGTTTTCACTTTAAACCACTTGATTCCGCGATTTTATTTCTCGACCACTGATTCTGAGGAAGATTAGTTTATTTATTTCACATATAAGACTTTCTCTCTCTCGTTCTCATTCTTCCGAAAATGAAACTTTTATGTCGAGGCACTGTTATTCAATATATCTTTCTGGGTTCTTTTTGAATGTAAAGATTCGACACGCAATAAAAAAACTATGTAATATGTAGAAAGAAAGAAGACGGTGATTTGGGATTCTCTAGATTAAATTTGTAAAAAATCTATATCCCCGAAACTGGAAGTTAGATAAGGAACGTATAATTTACACTGATCTTTTAGGCCCCTGGGTGCTCGCTGCGGCTATGTTGGTTCGTGACGTCAGAGGCGAGAAATGACACGCTGAGAATTCTTGCGTGACATTTTTCAATAAAAAGACATTTGGAAACAACACGTCAGAGATCGCTGTTCGAAAAAATTTTCCTTGCAATAATCAATAAAGAGCTGTAATACGCGCGATACGAAGCCTACTTATACGATGCACTTATAAAATATGATTGAATTTCGTATCGCGTTTATTTTACGAATGTTTGTTAATTGTCAAAGGAAAGGTTTTCGGATAATTTTATAAGCGTGCTTAAGCGAGCTAAAGCGTTTTTCTTCTAAACAACTTTTTATTTAAAACTGTCACGCAAGAATTCTCCACGTGCCATTTCTAAGTCTCCGACGTCGCGTTTTCCAGCGTGGTCGCGGCGAGTTCAGGAGCCTTAGCGTGATTATCGAGATGAATTTTGGTTGCACTCTACGTGTTACTCTGCGCCCTATATCGCAATATAGTTTGCAGAATAAAAAGCAAGCGTGTGTCGTCACGACCAATAAGATTTACAGAATTAGTGCAAGTTCTCTAAAGTCTTACGACGGGATATTTTTATCGCCGATGCGGATTATTGGATGAATAGAATTTCTAACGATTGAAAATCGACGATGTACAATTTGATTTTGAATACCGATAGCAATTGTCCGATGATTATGGTCGGTAAATGTTAAGAGTCCTCACATTAATGATAGTGGTTCATCCTGCGATATCGGTCCATCAAGACACCATTGAATCAATGTCGATTGTCGCTCTCTCTCTGGCAATGATTAAAGAAATTATCTCTTTATATTACAGTTAAGCCGATGAGATGCAAAAGGAGTCAAGAGATCGCTGACAAAGAATTAACTGCATACTATATCAGTGAAATTAATTTAAAAATAAGTCAATTTGGTCGATTTATTCTAGTTGATAGTCCTTACCACTTTTAGTTCTTTTTAAAGCCATAACAGGACTATCACACGTGACAGCTAAATAATATGAAACATTATACAGTTACAATATAAGCAGCTATATAATATAAATAATATATGTATAGGAAATTATAATATAATTAGCTAAATTAGAGATACTCTTATTAAGCAGCTACAATAAGTGTATAATATATGAAGAACTATGATCTAATCATAGGAGGCTATGATATAAGCTAGCTGTAATACAGAGAAAGAAATTTAATCTGCTATGCGTAACACTAATCGACATTGATGCAATAGTCAGATAACCAATCGTCAGTGACACTAGCTTAAGCACGAGGTACTAACTGCCACTTGAATGAATGTGCTCTTATATGTACCGTGCGAACGTGCGTGTATGGAACATGTAGAAAATCTTTCTTAGTAATTGAAACATATGTGCGCACTAGCTTTAATTTATTTCTTAAAATCTCTACGTGCGAATAACGAGTGTGATCAGACAATTTGATAAATAAACCAAAATTGAAACTCTCATACAGAAACCTGTTCATTACTTGATACCCATTTGATAGTTGTTTTCATGGCAATTAATATACAGATTTTTAACTATGACAATTTAAGGAATGTTTACGCGTTTAAAATATTTTTTAATAAGTCGACACCTTGTTATGTAACAGTAATTGTATCTTTTCTCTTTCTTTTACATGCAATAAGAGAGATAAAAACCATTCACATTACTTATTGTTAGATGTATCAGAAATATTGCACTTATTCCTTTTTTTATATAAACTTTTAATATAAATGATTTATATATCTATTGATTGATAAAAACTCAAAGAAAATGTTGCTGTTTCTTTTTTACAAGACAAGATTTATACGCATACATTTTGGTATATTTATAATCTCATTTAATATTGTTTATATAAAAAATATATTACGTTATATACCAGACATTAAATGTACACTTCGTGTGAAATAAAATACAGCCAGTTATTTAGCACGTTTTATCAGTAATTATTAAGTTCTACAACTTGTGAAAGCAATGTTACCCTATTTCTAAAATATTCACATTCGCCATTTTAACAATCTATTTCAAGAGTCTCTCCAAAATAACTGATTTGTATCATTTAAATGTTCAATTGTCTTAATTTATTTAGCAAAAGATTACTTGCAAAAACGTCTTATCAACAATATTACTAAAAATCATTTGAAAAACTAGGTATAGTGATGTTAAAGCCTTCATTAAAAGGGATATTAATACTTCTAAAGCAAGTAGTTTCAATAAATATGACGAAACTGTAACTATACACCTCTCGTTGTGAACAGCAATAATTACAATCCGGAAAACGCAGTCCGTAACAATTTCTATTTTCGTTAAGTGCATCTTCGAGGTTGATTTGACTAGTTAACTGTAACCATGCCTCTTTTATTCGCCTTCTATTATCTCCAAGATTGTAAAAGTGAAATATTAGTAAAATATCTTTTACTGGCCATTATGCACGATACAGGCGACAGGCTCAACATAACTGATTATAAGACATCAATGAACGCGGTGCGATTTTCGATCCATCTCGTCCGTCGCGGGCCCCTCACCAGTAGTTAAAAGGTGCAGGGCATTTCGAAGGTTCTTCACGGAGGTAGCTACGTCGTCATAGTCCAACGCGCTGCTTGCCCATTTGATTAACTTTTGAGCCTTGGCAATCTGCTCGACTGACAACTGGGTACCGCCTGTAAAATTGTATCGTGTCCGAGTTGAAAGAATTCTCTCATATTATCGTATTCTTAGATCCATTCGCCTCATCCCGTTGGTAAACGTCAATTACACCGCGACTTACTTTCTGTCTTATACATATCATCTTCCGACTCAAACGGCTGCGTTCTCGCAGACGGCGGATTTACAGGAACGGGCGGAATGCTTCGCGAAATGTTATCCTTGGGACTCTCGGGATTCACATTTGATTCGGGCTCTCCGGCTAGTGGCCAGAAAAGCGTTGGTCAGAACTCGACACAAATTTGTAAGACTAAACGGTCAATATTTACCATCGTCGTTGGACGCTTTGAAGGAATCATCTTCCTCGTCGGCGTCTTTCATCGGACCTGGCACTGGAGTTTCCCCATTTGCGAGACAGTTGTGAATGTAGGCCGCTTTCCACTGGGCGTACTTCCGATTTTGTGCCGCTTCCACGCTCAGCTCTCCGAACAGCGTCAACACATTGTACAATATCTGAGCGGTGTAAAAGCTCTGCACCACGTTCTGGGAGAAATTTGCGGCCCTGTCGTTCTTGTCGGCATACAGGAAGAGCTTCAAGGTCCAATTCTCCAGGTGCGCCTGGGCGGCCACTTCGTTGGTGATGGCTTCGTTGTCGTGCAGCTCCTTCTTCGTCGTTTCCAGCCAGTCCATCAGCCTCAGTAGAAAATTCGTCTCTTCCGACGTCTTGGTCGACAGCTTCAATCCGGTTTGGAGAGCAAACAGGCGACCTGTTTGTTTCGTACGTGAATTTCAATAACTTCCCTTCAAGGTAGAAGACAAGGTATGGTAAACGTTTTTCTCTCTCACTCTCTGTGTCTAACCTACTGACATCTCTACGATCTCTAGACTTAAGACCTAAAATATTTTAAATATCGTGTACGCACACCAATAACTGACAACGCTATCTCGCTGGTCGTGCTTCGACGCGACTGTCAAGTATTGCTGTATGGATTTCAACGGAGCCGGAAGGCTCGGAAGCTTCGGCAAGTTGGGCCCCGTCTGTGCCATTGGAACGAGAAGTATCAAAGATTACACGTTGAGAGGTGGTCTTTCCTCGACAGATCGTTTCACGGATGTCCACACTTGTACGTCTTGATGGACGAAGAACGAACTTTATCGGCCTGTATATCAGCGACACGAGATTTTTTAACGCCCAAGACGATCTCTTATCGTCAAAATAATCGATCCGCACGTCGATTACACGCGTCCTTCGAAATACATCGCAGCGATGTTTTCACGGGTCCGTTCCTTTTAGCTGAACCAACTGCGCACACTCGGTTCACAGTTTATCTTCTTCCCTCCGTATTCAAACGAGAGAGATAAACTGTGAACCAGTGCAGCCAGTTCAGCTAAAAAGAACAGACACTACATAATCGACGGCGCAATTGTATTTTCAGAGAGAAACCTGAGAGCGGCCACGCCATAGGGTTTACTTGGGACCGATTTTCGCCATCAAAAGTGGATGTAAGAACTACGGAGACACATCTACTTATCGACACGGTCGATAAATATCACTTTTTGGTGTGTGTCCGTGCTACATCCACTTTTCAACATTGTCTTAACATCCATAAATTGTGGATATAGCATAGACATACGCTAAAAAGCGATTTATTGACAGTGTCGGAAAGTGGATGTAGCACGGACACGGACCAAAAAGTGATTTATTTACAATATATCGAAAAGTGAATTTAGCACGGACACGCACCAAAAAGTGATATTTATCGACTGCGTCGATAAGTAGATGTGTCTCCGTAGTTCTTATGGCTCCTGCCCACTGGACGCGGTAACGTTGCCG